ATTTTTTTTTTTTTTTTTCTTTCTTCAAGAGGATGATTTAGGAGATGGTGATTTGGTGAAAGGAACCTGTTCGGCACAGGTGAGTCCTTCATGATCTCCAGCCAACTCCCGACCAACACCAAGCAAGTCCAAATAATAGAGATAGTGAGATACGATGTTGTTCATTGCATCAATATCACCTTGACCGCAAACAATATCACCGTACATGACATTCATAGTGGTTCCAAATCCAGTTACACGTTTGGCCAATGTGTCATTCTTTGTGGGTTTCCAGTTCCCGACAAATACATCGTGGGCAGAAGGTATGCTGCGTTTGGGAGACGTCATCCAAGACCAAATTGCCGCCTGGAATGCGAGAGTTGCATTTTGTTCAATGTATTCGGGATGGTTCAACAAGTCAACCTTAATGGCTTGGCCTATTTTCCCGTAATTATAGTTCCTGGAACAATCAGAACAAAAAATTGCGATTTTTTTTTTTTTTTATGTTTTTAGGAATTCATATAGTACGAAAGTAGAAACAGAATGGTAGGTAATCCGGATAATCTTAAGCAAATAAAATTGTCAACGTTCACTAGGTTCAAGACACATGTCCTTCATAAGGCTGTCACTTGAGAGTTGATATGAAGAAAATAGAACACCTTTTTTACACTTTGAATTAGTTTGTTTAATTACAGAAATCCACCACTGGGTTTTAGTTCGATCACAAAACAGCTCACAATTGTCTTCTAAAAATACATATAACTACCTGAGGTTGGTATTTGGTATTTACCATACAGATAGGATTTCTTGTAAAGTTGTAAGCACACTTTTTTAAGACAAACCCATATTTTAGGGTGTTTGTTATTTTTAAAGGTAGTTGGATTTTATTCTTTCTTTTCTTGTTTTGTAAATTTGATTAAACCTACTAACCTAGATAAAATTATTTTAACAAAATCCCTTTTCCATTACCAGGTAAATGAAGGGTGGGAGGTGGGGGCGTGAATATAATATATTTGGAGGCAGGGGCAAACAATTAATTTTGATACAACTATTTACCCCCATCAGCCACATTAAGTCATACAGAAAATGATGTTTTATTGACAAAAACTACTTTCTCATAAACTTCAAAATTGACAGACACTAAATCAGCCATGATTTCAAATGGGTTAATTGATAATTCAAAAAAGAGAAAAATGTAAACACGAGGAAGAGAAAAAGTTTTGAAACTTCATCATATAACTTAGAGGAGGTTGACTTTTAAAACATGTAACCAATGAAAAAGTGAAAGGTTCTACCAAAATGTTAACACTCCAAGTAGAGGATATACCTATCTGATACCTTACCTATATGAGGAAAATCAGAAATGATTTCTCCAATGCTCCAGAAGTCAAAAGACTAAGGAATAATTCGAGGTTGAGAGAGTATGTGCAACAATAACATGGCCAACGGGCAAATTTGGAATTGGGAACAGATAAAGAGAAGACTAAGAAAGCAAAGAGGAAAAGGAAAAAAGAGTACCAGTAGATTGGTATTGCACCACGTCCATAGTATTCTGCTCCAGGAGCACATGGGTACTCATATTTAAAGAAAGGATCACAGTAACTTTGGCTGGGACTCATTTCCTTATTGTAACACAGGCCCCATGCCAGTGGTCCTCCTGTGGCCACTCCATAACCACCTGCACTTTTGGAAATACTAGTTAATTATGAAACCTATGGAAGTTCCACTTTCATCAAAAAAAATCTCCAACTATAACTAAACTCAAGCAACAAAGTTTCATGGTGGAAACTGCAAATTGGAGGTACATTTTAAACTTTCTTCAAAATAGATGCTGTAGAAGCTTCCTTGGCCACAATTGACGCTAGGAATCTTTCTCGAGAGAAAACTCATGTACACACCATAGCTCAATGGTTCCAAAAATGAATGTATGGTGGGCAGTACAAATAAAGATAGGACAAGAAATAAACATATAATCTAAATGAACAGATTACTATCACAGACAAGAAAACAGAAGTCATTTGAAATAATTCAGCAAAATAACAAGAAAACGCGTACATTGTACTACACTTTATATTACCCTTTCATATAATATTGGTTTCCCAGGATTTCTTTTTCAGAAAAGAACAGATTTTCTTTCTATGAAATAACGATTACTAAATGTTCTTTTGAGTTTTATCTCAATATTTTAGTTCTGAATATCTGCAAATGAAATATTCACCTCATTTCAGTTCAGTCGATGTTTAAACACCACTATAAGCTAGGTACAATATTTAGACACATCATTCTGGTTATTACCATTCACTAACTGAAGTGACAAATGGAACGAAAGGTAATCAATCAACTCACGGAAGAAATATTAGACAACTTCTATACATCATGTGGGAACTTTATGAAACTATTGCATTAACATGCAATAACTTACAAATTATTATCAAGCTCACCCCAGTCGATTTTTTGTGTAAATACAAACTAACTGCTCCTTAATGGTTAACACGAAGATAAAAGAAACAAGAAGGTAACAACACAATCACAAGGCTATAATAAACAATTCAACAAAAAACAAATACACCATATAAAAGTGCAACCAACAAATGTAAAAGAATCAAGTATGAGTCAAATATTTACTCCAACAGATAATAACGAACCTGATCCAAGACGTTGGAGCCTGGATGCATGTGAACAATGATGAAAGATAATAATAAAGCTCTCGGACACCAAAAATTTACTATTTTATTAGAACTCTGTCACAGAATTTTTGTTTTTTCCAGCATAAATTGCGAGTGTTTCAGAAGCATTTAGATACAAAAATTACGTCTTTTGTAATAAAAAAAGAGATATCATTCTAAATGTGATTCCATACTAAAACTAAACCAAAAACGGAAAATCATCATTTACTCAATCTCATTTTGTCCTCAATAATCAGGTCCAAATTTTTCCTAATAAGAACAAATCATTCACATTCTTCACAAGTCAATGATTCACCTACTCACACATATTATTCACCCACCAATCCAATCCAATCATTATTCAGTATTTCAAAATCACATTAACTTTCATCATCCACATTTAATCTCGTATTCATTAAAATTCTTAATTTTTCATTATTAATTAAAGAAAAAATTAACCACTATTTCTTTAGCATAACGAATTCAGCCATACCCAAAACCATTTCATCTCTTTTGCCACAACGGACGGTCTAGTTACCTCACAGATCTGATTTCGATTTGAAAGTTCTCATGAATCCTCCAATCAAATGGACAATTTCCCTAATTTTTGGTGATTTCAATTCCTGGAATGAATTGCCGGTCTTTTCCATTCGGCAATTGAAAAATTCTTTAAAACCGTTAAAACCTTTTCTTGTCAGTTAACTATGTGATGATGACATCGAATTTAAGTCTTCAATACCAACCAAGCGACAAAAAGAAAAAGAGAGAGAGAGAGAGAGAAATAGAAAAGAGATAGAGATAGTGAGAGAGAGAGAGAGCAGTTACAAGAAGTTTTGCAGCCGACATGGGCAAGGAAAGCAGCAACCTCCTTCATCTGCATGAGCTTGCCGCCGGTAGTCCCGAACCCAAGCGGCTGATAAATGGCGGAGGCGATGATGAAAGATCTGTAGTCCCAAAAGCCCACGGCCTTGGCCACCGGCGAGTTCCTCTTGGAGAAGAGATTCTCAAACTGGTACGTCTGGAAGAAATCCGAAATCGTCTGGTTGCAACAGTAGACCGAGAAGGTACTACACTCCCATCCTTGCTTGCAGACCTTCTTCCCATTCTCCTTCTTCACGATTATCTCTTTATCGGAAGGATCCGCGCCCGCGAACACCGCACAAGCACAGATCGCCAGCACCATTATCCAAATCGAGAGCTGCCCCGCCATTTTTCACAGATCTTGATCGGCTAACTTTCTGGATGAGGAAGGAAAAACACAACTTAGAAGGAAGGGTTTAATGCACAGAGTAAATAAGGAATTTGCAGGTTGAAAAGCTAAATAAGAAAGTGAAGGGGGAGCTACTCGCTGCTCGCTCGCTCACCTGTGAGGCTCTGACCTGTCACCTTTTATTTTTTGGGAATATTTATTTTTATGTATTATTTGCAAAGTTATGATTTTATGAGGAAAGATTGAAATGGATTTTGTGGTAGGGAAATTATTGGGATAATAATTAATAATAATATTTATATATTTGTTTGCAAGAAATTTGGGTATGAATTATGAATTATAGGGAGGATTCACCGTCACCGACACCGACAGTGGCTGGAGATGGCGTTAGGTTAGCCTTCTTTGTAGCCTTTATATGATGCATTGCACGTGGTCCCCTATTTTGCTGGTTCTTTAATCTTTACATATTATGTTGTACTATCTAAGAACATGTTTGTTTATAAGATTTTTTTTTAAAATTTCCTTAACATTTTAATTCAATTATTTTTTTAACTCAACCACACTATCATCAATATTATCAATATAATTAAATAATATCAATCAATCATACACACCACATCAACCTTAATTCACTATTCATCAACTCACATTATTTAACTAACTATCACTTCAAATCATCTCTCTCATACTTTTACATCAAATCAATTTTAATTATTTTATTTTAAATATTATTTTAATATACCCACTAACACCTAACCATACCACCTTTTTCAAAATTAACCAAACCAAACCAAAAAATCTAAACAAAACTAAAAATTTCCATAAACAAACATGCTTTAAGTTTTTTACTGTTCTATTGGGGGTTGAGATAGTCATAGTATGGGAAAACAGTTGACTTCAAAGCTAATAAAAACTTGGATTGTTATCGAACCCAACCGAACCGAGCTTAAGGTTTTCGAGCTCGAGCTCGACTAATTTTCGAACATGTTCATGTTCATTCGTTTATCAAACAAAAAATTTTGTTCGTGTATCTAGTCGAACTTGTTCGTGAACTGTTCGAATTGTTCGACATGTTCGTGTTCGTGTTTGTTAACTTTTTCATTTTATTTTAATGTCATACAAGTTATTTTATTTAATATTTAATATATATTCATATTTATTATTATATTATATATGTATATACTATATATAAAATATAAAATTATACAATATTTTTTAGTTCGCAAAAGCTCGATTAGTTCGCGAACTTGTTCGTGTTCGTTCGATAACTAAACGAACATAATTTCATGTTCGAGTTCAGTTCCATTGCTAAACGAACGAGCTGTTATCGAACACGAACGAGCTTTGTTCGCGAACAGCTCAGTTCGATAACATCTCTAATAAAACCTGTGCATATATTTTTAATACATACTAGTACAACGTACGTGAAGTACACGGATGTTGTAAAAAACAAAATTGTCCAACAAAGAATAAAAAGAAATAAAATTCTTATTGTAAAGAAAAATTATAAGTAATTAATAATTAAGTAAAAGAATTCGTAATATTATTTTAAATTCTAGAAAATATTTTGTATGAAATATTATATATTTTATTTAAGATATTTTCATTTTTTTTTTCAAAATTAAATAGAATAATTAATTTACTATGCATTTAATATAACGCCCGTGAACAACAGGAGTGCATTAAAATAAAAATAAGTAAAGAAAATTATATTCTATAATATAATGATAAAAAATTAAGTATAAAATTAATAATTCAAAACTTAACAAAGTTAATTTAAAATAATACCAATATTTTACACTCAATTTGTTAAAATGATATTTCTTTAATATTATACACACATATATTTATATTATCTACAACTCACTAATTTTATTTTGAATTAATTTAACTTTTTTCCAAGTTTTAATTAATATTTTATGTACACAATTTTCTTGCTCAGCTTTTATTTCATTTCTGTTAAGGATCAAATATCGTTTTCTTCCGGAATTCCATGCATTTTCTCTTTATAACGTCACTGAGTACATACATCCTAAAAGCACAAACATCTATTTTACTGGTACGGAATAAAGTTTCATATAACTCTTTACAAAACACACAGAAAAAGAAGCTAGAGAAAAACATATCTATCGCTTTTGGAAATTGAATGATCTTACTGCAAATGCGAAACCCAAGCCGAAAACAACTCCAAATCCGGTAATAACAACAGCAACCACACCAATAAAATCGTGTCTGAACCCAAAGTAACTCCTCACAAATTCCTCAACAGTTTGCTTCGAGTCTAACTCCTCTTTAACATCTCCAAACTGTGATGCAACCAAGCCATAAAGTGTCCATGCCAGGGGATTCACCCAATGGAACCATCTCCACCACACAGGTGTCCTCTGTAAATCCAAAGATTAAAAGGAAAACCACAAGATTTTTCGATTACTTCATTATAATAATACCTCTACAATCTTTCATAAGAATATCCAGCTGGCAGCAGTTCTTGTGAATTTAAACCTCACTCCCTTTTGTAATTTTTACCCATTTCTTGTAGTGTAAATTGTGAAATGGAACTATATATGAAGGTGGGGTATTTGTTATCTTGAATTTTTTTTTTTTTTTTTNGATTTTTTTTTTTTTTTTTTTGTACATAGACTAAACCTTAAGGTTACTTTCATAATTAACCGCTGTCTTATGCACATGTATCATAATGCAAAACTGAGATTCTAATGCTTACCGGCATTGGTATCACAAATCCCGAGAAAAGGTTCCATAAGGCATAAAACGAGTAGGATATGATGTTGGCAATGTGGTGATTTGGGGTGATAGCCACGGCTATCATGCCGTAGAAGATGAAGTAGAGCAGCGAAAAGAACATGAAAAATATGTACCAAAAGTATTTGGCAGCCGTCCACTCGAAACCAATCGTTATGTACACAATGGTCCCATATATTATGGCCTGAGCAAAAGCGTAAGGGACCTCGATCAAAGCCTGCGAAAAAATAAATAAATAAATAAAACCAGATCGAACAAGAATGCATCAAATTTTTTCTGTATCTACAAGAATCAGACAGTATTTTTAGGATAACTACCAAAACTAGCCCGGACATCAGATTAATTACAGAAAAAACTCTATTATCATCTTTTAAATTTACGAATATTCCCCTAGATTTTCATTTTTCCGCACATGTTTCACTCGAAAGGAATTCGTGAAGTAAAATCATGTAATTTTGATAATTATACCTTCATTTCAGGGATAAAGTGCAATATAAAGCAAAATAAAAACAGTTCAGGGAACAAAGTGCAGAAAACCCACTGTTCAGGGGTTTTGTGATATTTGTATAATAACCTGTCCGAATGCAAATGGTAAGGCAGAGTACAAGCCCGCGGCCCTTTCTCGGTAAAAAACAGCTCGTTCAACAGACACCACAGGCTGTACAGATGAGGCAATCTGCATACCCAGAAAGAGAACAGAGGCATACATGGAGCCCATTGCATTAAAGATATCTTGCTGATTATCCCTGAAAATTACAGCATTAAAAAAATACAGAATTAAAGAAACAAAAAATTCAACCAGTACATCAGAAAATCTCCAAAAATGGTTCCTTAAACACACATTTGTTCTTTACTTACAATTTCTTGCCAAGATCCCAGAACATGGACCCAAACATGAGGGCCAAAAACACTGTATACAAAATTCGTACAGCAGAATAAAGAGGATTCCGCCAATATGACCAGTGTTGTTTCCATAAGCATGCAATGCACTGAGTGAAAAAAGACTGAGAATACTGAGTTTCTAAGTGGAGGTCCTTTGAGCCAGGAGGAGGTGTGCTTAGCTCACTTATGAGCGCTTTATTTCTCCTGTAATTTCAAGACCATTAACATAGTTACCAGTAAAACACTGGCGTGGACTGCTAGAATAATTTGGTATAATGAATATTACCTGCAAAGTTCTGAATGTTTGTAAAATTCAGCAAAGTCAACACCTAAGATCGTTTCTTGAGCTGAGGATGTAACCTCGAGCATCCAGGTTGCTGGGTTATAGCCATCCCTGATCTTTTTAACTCCTTTTATACCCTAAGATAGAAGATTAAATGGAAATCTTAACTTATATTTCATGGTACAAGTAATAAGAAACGTCAAGACAAAATTCGAAATTACATACATACCTTGATATTACCAAATGCATTGGTGCATTTTTGTAAGAAAATACCCTTAGATTAGGATTATTNATTCCCATGAAAGTTCCAACGTAACAATAAAAAACCTTGAACCCTGTTTGCATTTTATATTTCCCCTATTCATAAGGAAAAAAAAAAATCCAAAAACCTCCCTCACATTCAAATAACATTACAACTACCCTAAAATTTAAGATAGAGTCAAACTTCAATCATTGGTAATTTTTGAAATGACCCAGATCCTGAGGGGTATATGTAACTCTAAATATTATAGATATATGTCAAACTCAGAGTCTTGTTTGCAGTTATTCCTTCTTACAATATCAAACCTCGTGACAGAAAAGCTCACCTCAAAGTACTCAATCAAATTGCACGAATGTCTGCCAACTGGCCCTACATATATCGCTTCCCCCCCTCTCTTCATCAAAAACAGCTGAAAAACCAAGAATGACCGTGAACAAGTCAAGAGGGGAAAAAACATAATAAAAGACTTCTATCTCCATAAAAAATCATCTTGCCTCATCAAATGCCTCAAAAATGTCAATGCTAGGCTGATGTATGGTGCAAACAACTGTTCTTCCTGTGTCGACTGTGTTCCTAACTGTTCTCATCACGATTGCAGCAGCCCGTGCATCAAGGCCCGAAGTTGGCTCGTCCATAAAAATTATGGATGGGTTTGCAACGAGCTCGACTGCTATTGTAAGCCTCTTCCTCTGCTCGGTAGAGAGACCATTTACCCCTGGTAAACCGACTAGGCCTCCTCTTAGTGGAGAGAGTTCTACGAGTTCCATCACATTCTCTACAAATGCCTGATAAAAAATCAAGAACTTATAAGTTGCAAGAGTCCTTGCTAAAAGCCATATATTAAGAAGTTAGCAGCTCCACTTCAGACGACAAAGAATATTTTCCCTAGTAGAAAATGCCAATAAATAAATAATCGAAGTTGAGGTTGCAACGAAAATTTTTTAAAAAATAAAAAATAAAAAACCTTTCTGGTTTCAGCATCCACTTCAGACGGCAAACGTAGCCAAGCCGAGAAAAGCAATGCCTCGTAAATCGTAATACAAGGCGAATGAATATCATTCTGTTCACAGTATCCAGATATACGAGCAAATGTCTCCTGCCTTTTCGGATAGCCAGAGACCTTGATAGTTCCTTCGATATATCCGCTCGTTTTCCGACCAGCCAACACATCCATGAGTGTGGTTTTGCCAGCCCCACTGACTCCCATAAGAGCAGTTAGTACCCCTGGCCTGAAAACACCACTCACACCCTTCAGGAGTGTTAATCGGTCCTCGGTAGCTCCTTGGTGTATCATTTCCTGCATGTTAAATGTAAGATGAAGAAGAGTTGAAGCTATTCGCAATATCTATGAAAGATGGAAATTTAATTATTAAAATGCTTGATGATGTCACCAATTTCAGTTTGATCCACTCACCACAGGTCCAACACACAAGGAGGGTGTAAACCTCGGTTATTTTTAATTTACAAGTTGGACAGCCATTGTTTCGTAATTAGACCACACCCCAAGGTTAGTCTAGTAATTATCCCAACTATAAACTGAATATTTCCAGGGAAAGCTTAAATTTGTGAGCCAATTACCTGTCGCATGTCAACAGAGTACTTGATCTCGTCAAACACTATGGAATGTGGTTCGAAAGGAAGAACAACTTGCCTCTTCTTTCGATCTGCTCTCCCTACATTTTATTCAAGATATAGAAAACCAAAAGTTCACCCAGAAAAACAAAAAATTTATTTCATTAAAGATTTTATACTCACAATTACCAATATACATCAACTACTTCATGTACAAAAGTAGAGGCCTAATCGATAAACTACTCCCAGGTTTAGTCTAATTGGCGAAAAGAAAGAAAAATCAATTATATTTCCGCTATAAACACCACTAGAAACTACTTTTTTTTTTTTTTTTTTATTTACCATTACCCACAGTACTGTTGGTAAACACAAACCTTAAGGGAAGTTTGTAACTATGAAAAGTAAATTGAGGGGTTTTCGCTATTAGACTAAATTTTGGGTGTAGTATTTTAACTATCCTTAAAATGAGTTCCAGGATCCCATTTTCAGTAATGGAACTCACCATTTTGTGCAGTTAAGGCCTCATTCTCATTTTCTGGCAGTACGGCTTGAGGTTTTCCTAGAGCTGCAATCAGCAGCACCATATTACTGCATGAACTTCTTAGCAAAGCATAAATCCCTAGGCAGTTAAGTTTAGCGGCACTCACAGTTGAGATAAGTTAGAGCGATAACAGACAAGACGTTGAATATAATTATCATGCCTAATAATGCTCCTATTCCAATCCAGTACCAGTCTGCGCTCGTAAAATATCCGAAAGATTTCAAAACCTCCTCTCCAAGAGTTATATCCGAGCTTGGTGATACCTTGTAAACATTAACAATGAAAAAAAATATCGGTCATTGATTATCTTCACAACCTGTTCAAGACAGAAAAGCTAATATTATAGTATAGAGTTATTACAGTAAACCCCTTTGGAACTTTGGGGTTTTTAGACAATGCCCACTAAACGAATGCATTTCTCACTTTGCCCCATTAGTCCTCTCACATTCTATTATACTCAGACCCGTGCCATAGGTCAATGCAATAAAGAAAGTTTAGCAGGTAAAAGTACAAATAGTTGTAGGTGTGGCGGGTAAATAAGTTATACTACATATAACTTACGTGTCTCCAGCTGTGACTTCTGAATTCATTCACCAAAATTGCATTCTGCGCGTACATCATGGGGGAGATATAGTAGCCCCATATCCACCACGTCTTTATACTATCTAGAAAGCGTTAACCAAAAAGAAGATAAAGGAGAAACGAATGAGTTAATATGATATTTTTCAGCTCCAATGTATAACTAAAAGCAGTAATTTAGTATCATACCTCTCGAAATGACAAAACCGCTTAGTGCAAAACCTAGAAGCAAAACAAAGAACCCGAATGTGTTGGCTATTACCATGTTCCTACCCACTGCACCAATCAACCGGAACACTGAGGATGCCGCTTGAATTTCAAATAAGAGCAGCAAGAAATACTTGATAAATCTGTGGATACTTTCAAAATTAGTATTGATGTCTGTCCAGGGAAAAGAACAAATAATATAAAATCTATGCAACCTGAACTTTTTTTTTTCTTTATTTGCAATATAAGGGTAGCAATTTAGACCCTGTAACTTTTCTGCTATTGCATTATACTGGTCCAATACGATTTAATCTGAGATAATTCTAGATGGTTATTCCCATTTTCCATTTATTCCCAAAAAGCCTAAAGTGGACAAAAATCCAAAATGCATTACAGTAGCACACATATGTTATTATTCGAACTAGAGGTTAAAACTTTCAAGAATACGAAATGCCATATTAAAAAGTTAAAAGGACTAAAACTATCAAGACTTAGTAGTTACTATATCAAATTGCAATTTCTGCCTGATTTTTCTCACCAAAGCCGTAAAAATGGTCAAAGTTCAGTTGGCAATTAATCGTAAGATATTATCACATGCCCAACCTTCCGAAATTGGGATCAAATCCAATGCCATAGTAAGTGAGTATCGTGAAGGCGCCCACTTCAACAATGCTGAACGGTATTTTCGTTATCCAAAGGGGAAGAGCATAAGTCCACCCGGGGTAAAAGAACAAATTCCTTTGCTTGTAGAAGACTGGAAGCTTCTGAATGGTCAATGCTATCTCAGCCATGCCATTAAAAAGGACAGTGGTAACAGCGTAAATTAAGGCGCCGGCAAATACTCTTCCATCAGATAGGCTGCGGTGGTGCATCTCAACTCGAAGGAAAAGTGTCATTGCTATGACAGCCATTAAGGAAAGCTGAAGACAGATTTTAAAAATCGCCATTTGTCAGTAAGTTACAATAACATGTGGGATGAGTTGATGATATTAAGAAAATTTGAGTGAGGTAATCGTAAAATATCACATCAACAGTTTCTGTCATGCCAACTTACACTTGGGGACATAGGGGAGAGATACATGATAAAATCAGACTTCAGTCTATAGTTTCTATGATTTTTTAAAATATTAATCAAACCTCAGAGTAAGTTTTCGTGATAAACAAGATCTCTTTTGTTTTCTGTTTCCCATTTTCACGTCTCATCCCCCACCTAAAAACTCAACCCTACTCAAACTGCCACCACTGGACAAAAAAAACTCACCCGTAGTAGCTTGAATATATAGACAAAAGAGTTTCTTTTAATCAGCAAAAGCTCTCTCGACGTACAAGCTTTCATGAGCTCCTTTTTGCTGACACCATATTCTTTTGTTGTTAAAGCAGCCGGATGGCTTTTATTCTTGTCAAACGGGATTGCTATCTCGGCCGTCAGTCCCTGGCCCACATGAAACAACGTGAATGCCTCGGAAAATTCCTTAACCGTAATAAACCTGTAATGCCTATCCTCGTCTGCAAAATATTGCTGCTGGTCTTTCTTGGATGTTACCTGCATCAAACAGTTTGAATAGTCTGGACTCATTCATTGTTTATATAGCAGACCAAAAGTGGCATTAACAAATTAATATTCATGCAGAAATCAAAATTCAAAAGAGAGAGAGAGAGAGAGGGGTAATCTTCAATAAACGCACATGTTTAGTACTTTATTGTTTTTTTTTTCTAATTTGAAATTTGCAGGACAAAAAAAGGGTCCACGTGTCCATATTAGTTTTAATTTATAATTATAGAAGAATGGAACAAAACAGTTAGTTTCTTCTTTACAACACCATGTATATTTTAAATCGTCATTAATGCAGTACCATCATTGCCACCTTTACAAAGGAGAAAAATTACGAAAAAGGATGATTACTTCTTGCAAGAAGTCAGCAATCCCTTTTCTCTCAGGACATTTGAAACCCATGGACTGGAAGAACTCGAGCACAAACTCGCGTGGGCCCGCATAAACAATCTGCCCTTCAGATATAAGAATTATATCGTCAAACAGATCGTACGTCTCAGGCTCCGGCTGCAGGAGTGAAATCAGAACAGTCCCTTTCATGATGTGGGCAAACTGTCTGATCGAGTTCACGACATGGAAGGTAGTTGAGCTGTCCAGCCCAGTTGATATCTCGTCCATGAAAAGCACTTTTGAAGGTCCCACGAGCATCTCACCTGTGGTTTCCGAATTTGTTAGGAAAATTTAGGGAGTTTCTGCAAAATGTTGTGACTTTGAGACAGAATGGACCAACGTAGGAAAAGTGGAAAGTAATACTTGAGCAAGAGAAGTTGACACCATTTGCAAGCAAAAGAAAAAATGAATTTGTTCAATAAGTTTGCAAAAGCTTAATTTGCATCTAAAAGTCAAACCATAAGCAGAATCATAATCCGAAGCATCACATCCCAATGTTTGCAAAATTCGATTCAATTTATGCAACGAAATAATGCAGAACCAAATACTTATGGCTGAGAACTTCTTAAGGGAGTATTTGCAAGAATAAGTGATCTTACTGCAGCTGAAGTGAAAGTAACTGAAAAATCAGAAGTTGATATAAAAAAACACTCCTATTTCGACAACCGCATTATTTTATTATTTATTTCCCAATTAGTTGTAAACAATCCTAATTAAGCAATGCAAGTTTTCATTCCTGACAAAAGTCGTCATTTTTACCAGTGGTTACACGCTTTCGTTGCCCACCAGAGATGCCCCTAATCTTTTCATCTCCTACAACGGTATCAGCACAAACGTCCAATCCCAATATCTGCAAGTGTATGTATACATAGATATGTATAAGTTCGGTTTGATGAATAACAACATCTGACTAATCAGTCAGACATATTAGCAAACACCTTCAGTGCATATTACCTTGAGAACATAATCAATCACAATGCTACCTTCTTGACCTTCTATGGCAGCTGCCTGCAAGTTTACTCAGTTAATATAGTTTGCACGATGAGATATTATGACAATGGGTTTATTCATCACATGAAAAGAAAAAAGAAAGAAAACTAAAAATGGGATCTTGAGACTTCTCAATTTCTAGTTTTTACAACTACCCATCTTCTACATTCTGCGAACTTCACACTCTGCAACCCTCCAACTGGGTAGAGATTGCAGAGTGACAAGCGCGGTGAGTGTAGTTGGGTGTTAGGGGGTAAAGAAAGCACGGTAGAACTCAGGTTGCCAAGGAAATTTGAACTGGACTGGACCGGATACATACTTTTTTTTTTCTTTTCTTTTTTGAATATCTAGAGTTATCCCATTGAATTCTTTTTTAAAGAAAAATATTGTATATTTCATCACACAATTTTCTCTACAAATCTACTATCACAATTAAAACATAAAAACAATAATTATTATATACATTTCAAAATTTCAATAAAAACTCTTGTTCATCCATTCCCACATTTGTAACGTGAGTCTTATTAATCAATATATTATTACTAGTATAACTTCGCGTAGGACACATGTACTTGTTAAGAACATTATATTTAAAACTAAATAATAATACAATAAAAATTATTTAATTTTAAATATTTTAAAAAAATATGTTATTACTTATATTTAAATTAACACGGTCATTCAGACGACTTAGGGCTTGATTGTTTATGAATTATTTCATTCCCATTTATTTCATACTCAAAATCTAACTCAACTTTAACTCAACTTCACTATCTTTATTATTATTCATATAATTAAATAATACAAACCAATCATTCTTACACATCACATCAACTTCAATTCACTATTCATCCACTCACATAATTTTAACTACCAATCATTTATAATCATTTATCTCCTACTTTTACATCAAATCAATTTTTATCATTTTATTTTAAATATTAGTATAATACATTCTTAAAATTCCACTAACAACTAATCATATCACCTTTTTCAAAATTAACTATGGTTAACCAAAATAATTCATTTTGAACAAATTATTTCATAAGCAATCACCCCCTTACTATCTTATGTTTTTTTTTTCAATTTATATCAGATAACTACTTTGTAGTTAAGTTAATTTAAATAATTTTATTAATATTAATTAATTTAATTTTCATTATAAAGATAAATAAATAAATTTATTTATTTTATATGTATAATATAGATGTCAAATCGAATCTCATAAAAGATGATTAATTTAATATATTATATATAAAAAATTGTCAATAAATAAAAAATTTATTAACTTTTAAATATATATATATATATAATTTAAGTTAGTAAATTTGTTATGATTTTAAAATAAATATGAGAAAAGAAGAAAGATTAAAAAAAAATTATAAACCACGTCTACAATAAGAAATGATATTAAAACATAATTAATGCTCTTAAAAAGAACCATAAATATCCAGTGTATTTATGGATATTCCAAGCCTAGTTACTTTTGAATTGGAAATAAATTAAAATTCATGTCAAACAACAAAGCTTATTTATTTAGACTTAGCACATTCGAAAATTATATATATATAAGATTGTTACATGACATAATCATTATATTAATATCTTATGTTTATTCGTTATCTCAAATTTAATTTAATTTCTTGTTTCTAAAAATTAACCTTTTTTTTCATTTTNTATAAACTTTTAGATTCGATATGTCAATTTAAAATTCTATGTCGTTTATTTTAACATACACATGTTCAATGTTTACATATAAATATCTAATAGTAGCACCATGTCACGTTTGACACGTATACTTTAATATAATGGAATTTACGTACACGTTAATAAAATATGTAATTATTTCTTACTAATCCAATATTATATTATTTTATATCTCTATGTAATTCTAGGAAATTACAAGTAACCATTAAATTATTTGTTTTGAGTACCTCATTCCTAAACAATATCTTTTAATTTAAAGCAAAGCAGCTCAAAGAAAATTTTTTCCCACCTAAACTATCATTAATATATGTCATTAATAGTGGTATTAATACTGAAACAAGCCACTCACATTTAAAAATGATCTCTGAAATTAATGATTATAATTGAACACATTTCCTTGAAAAAATGTTAAGTGAAGTCAATCTTTACGAATTCAAACCACATATGATTCAGTGCCATTAATTCCCAAAATATGACTATAACTCATTAATTCTCAAAATATAAATGTAATATATTTTTCCTTTCGAAATTTATTTCAAAACATTTTATATATGATACTTCTATTATTTGAGAAGCCAAATTTACAGCATTTGTATAATTAATAAAGAAATACTATAAATCACAAATATATAGATAATCTATACATGGATCTTTTCATCCATAATAATAATAATAATAATAATAATAAGTAGCATGAGAAAACAAAATTGGAGCTTAAACATTATACGAAAAAAGGAATTATATTGTTTGAAAAGAAAATAAAAAAAAATCAATTGGGTTTATTCTTTATTGGATGTCTGTTGTTCGATCTAATACAAACATTTAATGTGGTGTTGTATCCAACAATAAATATTTGTATTTTTAAAGATAATCTATACTTAAGGTGATTATACATTGTAATATGAAAGAGTATCAATTGTTTACTACTTGATGAAAATAACTATACTTATTATTGGTGATATTTCTCAAATATCTCAATTTGATCCAAAAATTCATTAATTTGATTAATAATTCTAGCCTTTATATTGTTTTATTATATCTAAGGTAAATACTAATTATAAAATACAAACATGGTAATTTAATAATTTCAACATTGAAATTATATTACAAAATATATTGTTATTAGAAATTTATTAAAAAAAAAAATTAAGGTTTTAGTTGTTTATATAAACTAATATGTTTATATGTATAGACACACACACTTTAATCAAAATTGTACAAAACCTAATTGCTCACAAAATTTCATGCGAGTTAAACTAAGGGTTGAACAAGTCATGATGTCATCCTTTTTCAACAAAATTGCAAATTTAGATAGCCATATTTTATATTTTTTTTTTTCAAATAGATTTTAAAAAAAGTACGAGTAGAGAGAGATAAAAAAAAATAGTTCTATTTTTCACAAATAATATAACTTATTTGACTAAAACAAATGTACCTTTTTTTTAAAAAAAAACATCTACGAGTTTTGGGATGAGCCTGCTATATATCTCGAAAGTGGTGAATAATCTTTACATGGACAAAAAAATTATCCCAGTTTAGATTTTTTTTACCTGTATCAACCACGAATATGAAAAAATAAAACAAAAGAAAAAAAAACAAATAACTTCGAATTCAAACATGACATCAATATTTAATTGCATTCATTGGTAAACAATATATAGATATTTCAGAATTGATATTGCGAAAAAAGAATAATAACATACAAACAAAGTGAGATGAAGAATTTCGAATAGTGCAAGTACAACCCATGGCTTTAATTGTGAAGAGTAAATATATATATATATATATATATATATATATGTGTGTGTGTGTGTGTGTGTATTAATTTTTAAATGAACTTTTAATTATATATTATGTTTTTTTATATTGATTTTGGTATGATGGAATGTGTTGTTTGATTGAATAATATATAGTTTGTTTAATTTCGTTTATTCTTAGTTGGTATAATTTGTTATATTTTTGACAAAATATTGAAGAAACCATATAAACATATGCACATAATTGTTTTGCCATTATTTTAATTTTCTTATTGGCCATAATTATATAATTATAATTTCTGGAAAAAAAAGGCATAACAAGTTAATTTATTGTTAATTTATAACAATGATGAGATCATATTGCCTTTATCAGAACATTATTAATATTATTTTCTAAATAATAAGAATATATTGTGTTTATTAAAACATTACTATAAATGCAACAATTAATTTGTCGTTATCACATATGCAAGTGCTAATTTTATTTTTTATTATTTAGATGTATATATATATTATAATTAAATATTTAATTTTTATTGTTTTAAAAAAATTCTATCAATGTGCATTTCTAAAAAAAAATAAGTTAAAATATAATTATCATATATTTTAAATAAGTGTGATTGTTGACCTAAACATCGACGCCTTGATGATGATCATCGTGATTGTTAGCTTAATAGAACTTAAACTATTAACTTAAAAGTGCATAATAAAAGGTAATATGATATGTATAGGCATAAACTTTTAGTTTTTACTTTCAGATGGACATTTATTATTATAGGTTTTATACGAAACGAATAGTGCTAGAATATGATATCAGAATATGATTTTATTTATAGGTAAGAAATAGATTCATATTGTGAAATGATATTGCGAAAGGAAAAAAAGAAAATAATAATAAAAAGATTCAGCGATTTCGACCATAATAGAGAAAGAGTAATAACATGGTTTTGGATGTGTAAATAAGAAATATATATTTATCGAATTATTCAGTGAAGTTTTTATTATATACGAGATATTTCATATTAGTTTCAGTCCTAATTGATTGAATAGTTTTGAGTAAAAAATATACAGTTTTTTTAATTTATTTTTTTTATTTTAATTGGTATCATTTGTTTCATTTAGAAATAAATTTGACGTCATCTAAAATTGGTCAGTAAAATGGCTGCACTTATTTCAATTTCTTTATTGATCCACAATTATGCAATTATAAATTTTTATGAGTAAAAATAGTATAATGTGTTAATTATTGTTAAATTTTTTGTTATTATAACACATTTATTAAGAAAATGACAAAAATGTATTGTCGCTACTGAATTGTTGCAGTAGATAAAGTTCAATACTATAATGCATCAACTATTTTTTCATATCATATATTACAAATGTTAATATTATCAAAATAATTTATATTCTTTTAAAATTTATATAATATAACTCAAATGTCTTTTTCTTATTATCCTATAGAAATTCTGTAAATGTATATTCCTAAAAAATACATTCATTATATTTTCCATTAATTTCATTCAAAAATAAGTAATTTGTCATTGACATGAACATTAACATTTATTGGGCCTGTTTGTAACTTTACAAAAAATGATCGATGTTGCAGGTCATTATGATCATCATTGCACTTATTTTGCAAAGAGTGAATTTTTGAAACTACTTTGCCAATAAAATAAAGTGAAAAATATATGGACTTTTTAAAACAAATGCATGTGGAACAAAATTGAGGCATTTTTGTATTTAAACTAAATGCATGCAGACCAAATTTGAGTGATTTTTGTATTTTTTTTAAGTATTTAATTTATTTTTTATTTTTGTTGACTCATATCTGTACATGTTATTTTTTATTATTCGTATACCAATTTTTCTGTATAATAGTAATAATGTCTTTATATTTTTATAAATGATGAAAATTATTCTATTATATAGACAATTTTGAGAAAAAGTTTTGAGGAGTGTTACCACTAATATGACAAATACTTTTTTTCCGTTGAATATCACAATGTTTTTTTTTTCTTAAGTTTAATGTATTTAACTTTTAATTTTCTATGAAANCTTTTTTTTTTCCAAAACGATAGATTCATTATATTAAAACGCACAACTGTGCAAAGGAGCAGCCACCGGCTGAATACATACAACCAACGGCTGAATACAAGGAGCCAATAGCTGAATAAAAATGGGAGGACAGTCCACAAGTGGACTGCCTAGAGCCGACCCCAACAGGGTAATCCTCGGCAACACAACAAACTAGGACACTAAAAAAACTAGAACAAAATACAAAGACGACCCCAACAGAGTAATTCCCGAGTGTGGGATCCCAAAAGGATAATAAGGTCACACTCGGGAAAAACACAAAACCGAGGCTCACAGCCCAAACCTAAAACACTGAGAAAACACTAAAACAAAACGCAAACCCTAAACAATAAATCCTAAAAATTAACAGCCCTCCCCCGGCAGACTAGCAGTCCCCACCAGCAGCTATACATGTTTTATGAATATTTTTTTATTTATTTAAATTACAACTCACTCAAGTTATTTTTAACACCAGGCCGCGCAATGCGCGGGTGACTTACTAGTTCTCATAAAGTACTGTCATACCCGAGGGAGTCCAATACATCAATAATATTGCAAAATTCTTTTTAGTTTATTTTGCAAAACGTGTACTTTATTCAAATACTTAGATTTTGGCAAAGTTTATAGTCAGACTTCATGATTGTATCATCATTATAAGGTATTTCTACTAATAGCTCATGAATATATATATGTGAAATAACCTACCGTGTCATTAAAATTGCCGTATTTTTTTCATTATCATTGTATAAACTACTGCATTATGGTACCTACCTCATGATAGCATCGCTCCATGCGGTGGGAACGAATTTCATCCCCAAATAAAAGTTAACTTTCTAAAATCTTGTTTACATGTACTTCTCCCGATGCGTTAAATTATTTTTTAAAACTTCACACATTACATGCAAGTATGTACTCTACAGTAAATGCACATATGTTCAAGCACAATACATTATTGATATTGTAAATATTCCTATCAAAATGTGACAACTTCATTCAAACATTAAAAAATATTTTGATCAGCCTCCAACATTCCCTTTTGAAGGTCATTTACTTCGAAGATAGACAAACTACATCCCCTCTTAATATAATTTCAAAACGTGCTGAGCCTAAATGGCTGCTTAGCACGCTTCGTAAGCTTATTTGACAACATTACATGCTTCGGTTTTTGGTTCGGATATATTCCCTAATTGTTTAAAAAAAAATACTTAATAAATAAGATTTTTGCTTAATCCGATTCCCTCCAACTCTAAAATAATTAGGATTCTTATATACCGTGTAAATCCTACAATTCCAAAATAAATAGGATTCTTATCTTATATACCAAAATAAAAAGTTTAGCTTTATATACTATTTTATTCATATAATTAATGTAAACAATAACTTTTTTATATAGTTTAAATTAAAAAAATACTATAATTTTGCAAAAATAAATTGGGCACATATATAGCCACTTGCATATTATATCTTTTCAATCGTAAACAAATTATTTAAATCTTTTTAGAATATCTATAATAATACATTGAAATAATTATAGACGTGCTGAGCCTGCCTTGCATGCTTCGGAAGCTTACTTTATATATTATTTTATTTATATAATTAATGTAAATAATAACTTTTTCATATAGTTTAAATTAAAAAAAGATACTATAATTTTACAAAAATAGATTGGACACATATATAGCCACTTGCATATTATATCTTTTCAATCCAATATTACATGATATTTCTAATATATTTTACAGAGTTGAAATAAAAATAAAATAAATTTTGATGAACACCATGGTAAATAAATTATTTAAATCTTTTTAGAATATCTATAAAAATACATTAAAATAATTATAGAATATTACATGATCTTTCTAATATATTTTAAAGAGTTGAAATAGTTATACAACAACATATGTTTTTTCTATTATTTTATGTTTTATATATTTTTTTTCAAACAACCCGTGTAGTACACGGGTGACGTACTAGTAATCTATTATCATAATGTCTTTCTCATTCGTCCAAGTTTGCAAAATTTATGTGTCTAGTAACTTCTTTAATGTTTTTACTGTCCAACTATTTGCCTCATATATAATGCTTCGAAAATTCAAGATAAATATCATTTCTTGATTCTTCAAAATGACAAAACAAAACATTGAGACAATATTGAGAAGCATATCATTATTCAAAATATTTGTCAAATTTTAGATAAGACATAATATTTTATTTTTGCACTGGATAGCTTTTGGGTTTCTTTTACTTGGGTTTTTCCATGTTATCTACAATGCTTTGGATTCAATCCAAAAAAATTATATGCCACCTAAGAAATAGACTCATTCTAAAAAATATATTCTCCCATGCAAATAAAAGTAGACTGTGTCTTGCTGATATGACAGCCAGAAAAAAAAGATCCGGTGTCCCTTTAAGTTTATTTTAGATCCAAGTAGAAACCTAGTCTCTTTGCATTAAAGTGGAGTTTGTTAATTTTACATAGTTTTATCTATGTCAACCAAGACTTGAGTTTATTTACATGCCACATAGGCATGACTAGACTCAATGCATCGTAGATGAGACTTAAGTCCATTTATATGCCACATATGTCAAATTTGGCTCAATGCATTGTGGTCCTCTAAGCCAAAATACAAATCAATGTTCACTAATTTGTTTTTTTATGCTTAAACTTTAAAGTTAATTAATTATGAAATTAAAATCATATAAGACTTTAAGAGTTTAAGGTAATATACTAGCACTTTTATTTGACACATCAAAGTTTCGGTGTTGTTCGGTTAAAACCGCACCATTCGTACTCAAAACCGAACCGCACCGAAATTTTTGCGGTTTTCTAAAATTTAAATTGCACCGCAAACCGAAACTTCTAAAACCGCACCGCAAGTACCGCACCAAACACATCGATTCGGTTCAGTTTTTTGGTTGCGGTGCAATTTTGTAACCCGCACCGAAGATGTAATATTTCAGAAGATGTACCAGAATAATACTCCTTGTACATAATTTTCAGATACTCATGCTATTTAGGTTAGCAAGAAATAAAATAAAAATAATAAAAAGAAAAAGTGTACCACGATTGCTTCCAACTCCTTGACATCTTGCAGAGAATGCTAATGTTTCTCTTACAGTCATTTCTCCAATATGAACATCATGTTGGCTTATATAAGCTGCTGTCCTTTGGGGTGTAAATTCATTCATGCCATGTCCATTATATGTCACACTTCCTGAGAACTGTCATTCATATACATTAATTAGCAACCGATATCCAAATTAAAGCAGTTGATAATAGCCATAAATTTTACTTTCATATATATTTTTGGAAATAAAAGCTAAATATTGATATGCAAATCGGCATGCATATAAGCCTTCAGCGAATAAATAAGTCATAAAAACAAATCGAAATCATGCATATATAATATAATCAAAATTATTTTAGCTAGCATTTTTTTGCCAATGATTAAAATATCAGTTGTTTGGATGAAAAACTTTTGCAGACATTCTTTATTATTATTATTATTATTATTATTATTATTATTATTATTATTATTGTACCTTCAATTGAGGATCAAGCAGCCCAGCCATAGCCAACAAAATTGTGGTCTTTCCAGAACTTGGAGGGCCTAGTAGAAGGGTCATGCTGCCAATGCACAAAATAAATTAAATTGATTTGGTACCTATATATATGTAGAACTATATATCCCCCAAAAATAAATAAATAAATAAATAAATAAATATTAAGAGAAAGCAAAGTTAATTACAGTAGTAATTAAATATTACCGCCCAGGCTTTATGATTCCACTAACACTGTTTAAGATTGTCAATGGCTTCTTCTTGCTTGGAAGCATATGAAGAATATTGCTTGATATTTCCTAGTAATAGAGAAACATAAATTAGTTAGAACAAAATTCCGACTGTAAGAAAGAAAATATAGTAAATTTATCATAATTCNTATTTTTTCCAACCTCCAAAATATTTGTGAAAAAATTCATGAAAGAAGGCAAAGCCCTGCTCCCAACATAAGTTTCTGTTTCCACTTTTAGGTTCTCAAACCTAACTTCAGTTGTAGGTAATTCAATCCCCACCCTGAAAACAAAAACAGTAAGAAATACATAATTAAGAAAATATATCTATCTATCTATACTATTAGAAAAAGAGGAATTAATAATTTTGTAAGAAATACATGGATTTAAATATTCTTATATTTAATATATTTTTAATGAAAAAAATGTAAATTCAATTAAGTATTCTAATAATAAAGGACGATAATTTTAGTAATTAAATATCCTAATCCAATGCACTAGAGAAATTGATTCACGTTATCATTTTTTTTTTCTAGCTAAAGAGCACCATTTGAAATATAAAAATGATGTGGATAAAATTATATGTTGGTTTTATACAAGAAAAGAATTAAGTAAAATAATTAGTGAGAAAATTATTTGAATCAAATTATTTGTGTGTGTGGGTATGTGGTTCTAAATATTTGCAACAAACATCTGTATATTGTTTTTCATAACTACAATGTATTGTAGTGTGTGCAAACCAAATACCACATCGAAAAATTAAAGGTTTCAAGTCCAATATATAAGTTTTGTGGGCTATTCCTTTTATTGCCAATTGATTTTAGAATGGAACCTCATTTGAGTTTGTATGTTGGACTTAATGGAGAACTGAATTTTGAGTTGCTGGTCCTAACATTTATATGCACGCAAATCTAAGCTAATAAATGAGAAATAAATAAAAACTTTAAATTGTCATTTTTTTAATTAATGAAAAACAAAAAAACGTGTAATTTTAGCGAAAATTGCTACAACAGAGATCTGACAACAAGATCAAAATCGACCAAATATTATTTGAATATTTCAAGAAAAAATATATGATTCAAAGGATAAATTTTTGAGAAACAATTCTGTGATTTAGTTACTCATATTCGCGTAATTCTTTCAAATTCAATGAAACTATTGGTGGCTATTATGCATATTTTTATGTGTTGGTTTTTGTGTTCAATGCATATTTTTTTCTTTATCTGATCTTTTCAGTTTAAAACTGTTTTGTTGATCATTAAACTAACGAGGTAGGGATGAAATATTGTCTTGCATATATAATTAATTAATCGTTTTGTTTTTATGATAGCTTTTTATTTTAATTTGATTTTGTTTGTTGACAATGAAACTAATGGGGTAGGGGTGGAATGTTGATAAGTTCATCTTTTTTGTTTTATAGTATGTTAGAGAGTATTAATATATAAAAGCATTGTGTTATAAGATTATTACTTTAATTATAATTTATTTTAATTATTAACGTCCAGAATATTCAAATACAATAATTGACTAAAATACAAACTTTTAAATATCATAGTTAATTATGAAATACCTTATAAAGATATAATAAAACAATAAATTAATAATTTAGAAAATATAGTTGGCTAAAAAATGTATAATTATAAAAAAGAAAAAGTATATAATTCTTAAAAAAATAATATTATTATATAAACATATCAAAATATAAAGAGCATAGTATTTTAAAATTAACACGAGCATTTTAACTTCTAAATAGTGCGTAGCCCGTGCGATGCACGGGAAAATAATATTAAATAATAATTATAAATTAAAGATGCAGGTAAATAGCATTAAATAATAATAATAATAGATTAAATATTCAGAACTAAAATGTGATATAATTTACGTATATCGGTTTGTTGTACAATATAAAATTACCAAAAGAACACAAAACATGTATGTTTAAAGTATTAAAAATACCTAAAATAACATATGTAAAGATATCTAAAATATTCTATATTTTCTTAACTCACATAATCTTCCACTAAACTATTTTGTAAAGACAAAATGTCTGAAAGCGCCTAAAGATATAAACTTTAATGTATAGAATGGGCAACATATATATATATATAAGAAGTATCTACAATATTATGTGTGAGTATTGAATGTGTAAAAAAAATATCTAAAGTATTATTTGAGTAAATAATAAATATTACAATCTAATATCTCACGTTGAACTTTATGAGATAATATTTACATAGTATATATTGTCTATATGTCGTGTATACCAATTTTATATTGTTACTATCAACATTGTCTATATGTAATGTATCGCAATGATTTTGATTATATCTCTTTTATCATATTTTATACCTATCCATCCATTAATTCTTATTTTTTTACCAATTTCATGGAAATATATTATACGAATTTGTATATATCTCGCAAATGCTAATGCGTTTATTATGAAGTACATAATTTGGAGCATTTTGTGAGAAGGAATTATTATTCTTTGCATTGGAATATAATACATAAATCTATATAGAAATTTCAAAAAAATTTATTTTGTTGAATAATTTTCAAATGATGAAAAACTATAAAATAAAAATATAATTATTAAAATTAATATGATATAAAATAATAAAATATTAATTTAAAATGGTTGATAATTAAAATATCAGATGTGTAATAATATTATTTTTAATTGTTAGTTTTGTAGTAATATTATTTGATATCCATTCACAATCTTATTGGCAAAAATTTAACTACCTAGGAAAAAATATATAACACCATCACTTTAAAAAGTTATATATACATACAATTGGTTTATAAGATCTTCTAAATATATTGATGAACCTTACCGATCAAGTGGAATTAGCAAATAATTCATATACTAGTACAATACCCGTGTATTACACGGGTGTTGAATTAGAAATCTTTTGTAAACAATATAAATTTTTTTATTTTTTTAAAAAACTAAAATAATTTAATTTTATATAAAACATTACTTTAGGTTTTAATTAAATTATTAAATTATACTTTTTTAATTATAATAATTAAACACCTGTACATTAAATGAAAATGTGAACCCGTATTGAATTTTTTTTACTTATATCATATAAAAATATCGATATTATTTACTCTTACATAAGTACAAAAATATATATCTTAAATAAATAGAAATAATATGGTGATATGTATATGCATAAGTGTAGAATACGTTTATTTAATATTAAGCAAAATAGATTATCTTTTTTACTTAATCAAATGAAAATGTCAACCCGTGTTGAATTTTTTTTACTTCTATCATATAAAAATATCGATATTATTTACTATTACATAAGTTCAAAAATATATATATCTTAAATAAATGAAATAATATGGTGATATGTATATGCATAATTGTAGAATATGTTTATTTAATATTAAACAAAATAGATTAATTTTTTACTTAATTAGATGAAAAAATATGAACAAAATATCTAAAACGACATTTATTTTATCAATGATATATTAAGCCAAAGTGAGAAATAATAAAAATAGGAGGGAGTATATATTATTATATATTTTACTATGACACATGTTACTTGTGCGACTTATATGTGTTATATTATAATAAATATTCTACCTTATAACATATAACGACATTAAACATAAATATATTATTTGATAATAATTTCAATTTCTAATTTTCTTAATAAATAAATTTTTTATTATTATAAAAATAAATATAATTTACATATTTTATATATACATATGGATGTCAAATCGAAACTCATCAAAAGATGATTAATTTGATATATTATATATGTAAAACCGATAAGAAATACAAAAGTTATAAACTTTTAAAATATATTATTAATTCAATGGTTATAATAGAAAACGATAATAAAATACAATCAATATAAATATTAATTTATATCCAAGCCTAACTCCAAAGCATGATTTTTGTCAAATAGGATTCCGAAGCATGAGAGTTTGCCACGTAGACTCAGCGCATTCTGAAATTATATATAGAGGGGATTGTGTATTGTTGTTTTATATTAAACAAATTCAAGTATAATACTTTCAATTGCATCCTTTGTTGTTGCAATGATACCAAATGGAAGGACAACACAATTACATTTTAAAATACCAATTGACATAAAAGAATTAAGTGTTCTATGTCAAAATATATAAATATATTTAGTCTTTACCCAATGCATAATTAATAATTTAGGGTGAAGCACAAAAGGCTAAACAAAGGACAACCTAAAATTTTTATTTTTTTTATTAAATAATATAATGAAAAAGATAAATTTTGGTGGAAAAATTATTGTCTTCCATGAAAAATTTTGAAAAGTTTTACTAGTTGTCCGATAGGCCACAATCTACCAAATAATTTCAGCAAGTTCGGTGAAACCAACATTTTGGAATAACATGAAGAAAATTATTTTGTTGAGAAACATGAGGTCAATGAAATCTAGCCTTGATAAATTCTTTATCTAGTGTTAAAAGATGTTGAGAAATCAATTAACACATTAATTAAAGTTGCAGTCCAATGATCCTTGAGGAATTTAAACTCATGTAATGGACATTTTGTAAATTTTTTAAATACAATATGATGGAACCAGAAATTCATTTGGGCAACATATCAAAAAAACATATTTTTTATCACTGTACTAAAAATTGCCATAGGCGGCCACTTCTGATTTGCATGAATCGATTGAAAAAATAGGTCAAGCGGTGCTTATGCGGGCCTAGGCGCTCTTAGGCGGGATCGGCGGCTAGCCGGAGCACTTAGGCGGGCTCGGCAAAATTTTTTTATTTTTTTTAATAAATACTAATTATATTATTTTGTTATCATGTTTTCTTTATAATATATTAATATTATTATTTAGACTTAGGTGTGTAGATTTATTATAAGTTGAGATAGATTTATTTTGTAGGTAGTAAAAGAAGAAGAAGAAGAAGAAGAAGAAGAAGAAGAAGAAGAAGAAGAAGAAGAAGAAAGCTATTTGTGCATGTTGAGAAGCAAGCAATTCATGAAGCTCGAGGATAAACAACTGTAAACATCGTTTTCTATTTCTCTTATAGTAATTGGTATTCTCATAGCCAATTACATATTTTTTATGCAATAGAACTTCATTTTAACGACCAAAGTCTTACTGAAACTAGACCACACATGCTCATGGAGAAATATAGCAAATATAGTGTATAAACAAGTTTCAAACTTTGGTAACTGTTTTAAACTATTACTATATTACATGTTCATATTTTTTATGTTTAATAAATTATAATTATACTTAGTAAAAAATTCGTGTGGAAATAAATAATTATGTTACTACGTGCATCACATGTGCACTTTACTAGTAATAAATAAAACATGCACCAAATAAGGAGAAAAAAAAAGTAAGACTACTATATGGGCACAACAATTAGACAGTTGTACTTTTCAATATAAATGAATACCTGTAAATTAAAATTTCACACTTTAAAATACAATATAGATAAAGTATGACATTTTCTATTATAAATATGCATTTTCATTAAAAAAGACGATGATTCGATCTGCCTAACGGTTAGGCCGGCTCACACAAGAATCTGTGTAAAAAAGAAATTACCTATCCATTCTATTTTTGAGCTTCAACAAGAACTCCTCATTGCCTTCTTCCTTAACAAGCCTCTCAAGCAAATTTACCCTCTCTTGAATTTCGAGATTTTGGACGTCGACCTCGTTGGCAGCCCTTCTCAAATTGAACAAAAGGCCCTTCCTAAGACGGTCAAAAGTGGGAAGCTTCTCGAGCGTGGCCCACTTGAGAGCCTCTTCGTCGTCCTCTTCACGGGCCAATCTCGAAAACACCTCCGGCCCGTTATTCACTTCCATCTTTTATTTTATGTATTTGGTCTCAAGAGAACTAATTAATTGAAAAACACTTAAAATTTGGTGAAGTAGATGAGTTGAGAATGAAGTTTGCTGGAAATAAATGTTCAATCATGCAAGACTCTATTTTTATAATAGATGGAACTTGAAAAATTTTAGGCAACAGCACAACCTTTTATGTGTTTAAGCACTTCAAACTAAGTAAATGCGGCTGGAGTCTATATACTGTACATACACAACTCACATTCAATGCTTGGAAAAATCAATAAAATACTGCGGCTGGAGTCTATACTATACATACAAACTCACATTATATGCTTGGAAAAATGAATAAAATAAAATACATAAAATTGAAGTTAGTATCTTTGACATTTGTCCTAGTGAAATTAATTAATAACCCCTTTAACGGCTATGCCGATCTAATTTTATTTTTCTTTCTTTAATTTTCTCGATGATGTAGCACCCGAAATAACTCGGTGGACCGGTCTGGCCGATTAGCTCGGATAAGGCCGGTCCAAGGGACCTTGGAGCCTATTGTATGTGATACACGGTATTAATTAAAGATATTGATGAAAGTTGGTGTATATCTACACAATTATTGAGGAACATCAGAATTCTGAGTTATAGAAGAAACTCATTATCTTGAGGAGTAAGCATTAAATCCCTTATAAAGAAGGGACCAGGTTCATTTTCTAGAGCTAAGCTCTGGAGATTACGTAAGATACACGATCAAAATATATGTTTTTTGACAGGGCCGTCTCCAGAAATTTGGAGGCCCATACAATTTTTTTTTTTTTTCGAAGTTCCCAATTTGAATTTGTGTGGTAAGCAGTGAAGAAAAAAACAGCTAATTCAACAAGACAAGCTAAATAAATAAATAATTGAAAAAAAAATAAATTTTCTTGTTTTTCATCAATCCTAAAATATATCTTGGAAATGATAAATTATCTCTGGAGTTTACAGAGATATTTAATAAATTATATTGAAGCAGTCACGAGGACATTAAGATAAAAAATAAAAAATAATATCACTGAAACTAATTATTCTAATAAAAATTGTTCATACCAAACATCATAAGAAATCAAATGAAGGTTTTCAAATTCACAAACGAATTACATATTTAACCATTAGCCTTTTTATTAATTAGCTTCGTCATTTGTGTAGTGGACCAAGTCCATATTTAGTCATTAGCCCTTAACCCTTTATTAATTAGCATCTTTATTTGTGTAATGGGCTAAGTCAATATTTAGTCATTACTCATTCATTAATTAGGCCACTTCATTTATTTAAATGGATCAAACCCAACACAAATGCATAATATTAACCAACAAAAAAAAAAAAAAATGTGGCCCCAAATAAATTGAGGCCCTAGGCAAGAGCCTCTCTGCCTCCCCACTGGAGCCGGCACTGTTTTTTGACTTGAGCGTCGGATTGTATACGCCGGAGCCTTTTGCTTTGCAAGTCGATCCGATTCTGGAAGACGAAGGCGATCGAGACGTCCGGACTCTCATACAATCGAGATGAGGCGGTTTGACCAACAACCTCGGTGAGTCGATTAATTTGGCTCATCACTCGATATATGTAGAAAGTATAGAACATAAAGTGAAGACTAATTAAAGTGTAAAAGATCTTATTAGGTGAACTGGGGGAAAAATGGGTCAAGAATTGTTAAATATGGAAAAAATTTTGAATGCATTTTTTTGTTGTTAATCTCTTGAGGTTAGCAATCCTGATTTTAGTTATAAGATTTAATTTTTTGGCACAAGTTCGATAAATTAATATCTTGATATTTTTATTGCTATGACAAGTCAAAAAAAAAAAATTACTTTATCTCTTTTGTATTTAGTTAAGTTCTTTAGATACTATATTTATTTGAGTAAATAGCTATTTTCACCCCCTTTTAAAGGCGGAATAAGTTTTACACACCGTCAAATATAAGTTAATATTTTCACCCCATAAAGTGTATAAATTATGAGTAATGCTATAAAACCCACTTGGGTTACAACTCAAGTGTAAATGCATTATTTATTAATTTCTTGATAATACATTTACAATTGGGTTGTAACCCAAGTTGTCACCTAAGTTGGGTAAATAGCATTACTCATAAATTATATGATAAACTATGCGACATGAAGACGAAGATAAGTGATAAAGTGCGAAACAATTAAGCGATATGTTATTGCGAATTAAAGACGAAGATAATAAAACGCGAAATAGTTAGGCGATCAACTATGCGACAAACAAGTGAACATAATTGATAAAATACAAAACAACTATGTGATATACTATGTGACACACTGAAGATAGTTGATACAGTGCGAAACGGTTTGCGGCATACAAGCGAACATAATTGATAAAGTGCAAAACAATTATACGATAAACAATGCGACAGGCGGGTGCAGATAATTAATAAAGTACGATAAACTATGTGACAAACAGGTAAAGATAACTGATGCGAGAAGTTACGCGACAGACCGAAGATAATTGGCAATGTGTAAAACAATTACACGATAAACTATGCCACAAAAAAAAACATAATTGGTAAAGTGTGAAACAATTATGCGATAAAACATGCGAAAGACAGACGAAGATAATTAATGCAAAAAACTATGAGATAGACAAACAAAGATAATTGATAAAGTACGGAAATATTATGCATAAAGATATGCGACATACGAAAATAATTAATGCAAAAAACTATGAGATAGTCAAACAAAGATAATTGATAAAGTGCAGAAATATTATGCATAAAGATATGCGAGAGACAGATGAAGATAAGTGATAAAGTGTGAAATATTTATGCGAAAAGATATGCGACAGAAAGGCGAATAAATTGATAAAGTGAGAAATAGTTATACGATAAACTATGCGACAAACAAGCTAAGATAATTGATGCAAAAGCTATGCAACAGACAGATGAAGATTATTGATAAAGTGCGAAGTAGTTATGCGATAACCTTTGTGACATAAAAACAATGATAATTGATAAATTCGATAATATTATGCGATAAACTATGCAACAAAAGGTGAAGATAATTGATGAAATGCGAACTATTATGCGATAAACTATGCGACAAAAAGGTGAAGATAATTTATAAAGTACATAATGTTTATACGATATGATATGGGACACACTAGCGAAGTTCATTGAGTAAAGTGCGAAACATATTATGTAATAAAACATGCTACGGACAACCGAAGGTAATTGAACAAGTACGAATTACTTATGCGTTAAAGTATGCGACAGACAAACGAAGATCATTGAGCAAATGCGAAACAGATTATGCGATAAAGTATGCAACAAACATGCGAAGTTAATTGAGAAAGTACGAATTATCTACGCGATAAACTATGCGACAGACATGCGAAGTTCATTGAGTAAGTGCAAAACAAATTATGCGATAAAGCATGTAACAGACAGACGAAGTTAATTGAGCAAGTCCGAATCACTTATGCAATAAACTATGCGGTAGACAGACAAAGATAATCTATCAAGTGAGATCTCATTATGCGACAGATAGACAAAGATAATCGAGTTAGTGCGATATCGTTATGCTATAGACAGACAGATAAAGATATTCGAGTTAGTTTATCGCATCACGTTTTTCCTCTATTTTAACGTATCGTGTACTTCCCCTAGTTTATCGCATAGTGAGATTGCACTTGCTCAATTAACTTCTCTTGTCTTTCTTCTAGTTTATCGCTTAATGAGATTTCACTTGATCGATTATCACTTAGTCTATATTTTTACTAATTTATCGCATAATGAGATTGCATTTTCTTCATTAACTTCGTCTTTCTGTCGCATATTTTATCGCATAAGTAATTCACACTTGTTCAATTAACTTCGTCGGTCTGTTGCATACGTTATCGCATAATAGTTCCGCACTTCATCATTTAATTTTGCCTGTTTGTGGCATAGTTTATCGCCTAAATATTTTGCACTTAATCAATAATCTTTGTTGTAACGCCCCAATCCTTTTTATCTATATGAGCTCGACTTTAGTTCTAGAAATAGCAAGTTTTAATTATTCCAAGTTCTAATAATTTAAATTCAAGGCATTAAATTTATTATTATAAGCATTTAATCAAATTTATCTAAGCCAAGGAGGAGCCGTTCAAATTTTTATTCCGGAACCGAGATAATTCTAGCCTAAGTCGCGAATCATTTTATCTTAGAAAAATGACCGTAAACGTGGCCATTTTTAATCCTAAACGCTAAGAGAAATTGGGAAAATAATTCGTAAGGGCCGAGACCAAGGCAAACCAAGGCCTCGGCCTAAGCAAAGAAGCCGTGCACCCGAGACAAACCGAGCGGCCCAAGCCCGGGTCTGGCACCGCGGCCCAAAACCACCAAGGCCCACTCGGCCAAGACCAATGTATATAGGCCCAATACTAACTCTAGTCCATTGGCCCAACAGATACTACATTAGGGTTTTGGACTTGGTCTTCAAGATTCAAATTTGACTTAACAATAAATACTCACCAACCAAGCATGTACTATGGGGGACATTGGACTAGTAAAAGGAAATAAATCCAAGCTACTTTATCATCCTTGTCCCCCAACCCTAGCAATATAAAAGAGAGCACACCACCATTAGTCTTCATTTTCCTCCACACCATTCAAGCAAAAACCCTAAAAATGTCCTAGCCTTAGTTCAAAATATTCTAAGTCCACAAAATCCCTTAGCCTTAGCCACAAAAATTCGACCACCTCATTTTCTCGAGCCCTTGTCGAGCAAGTCCAGGCGACCTGAGTCCAAGTCCTTAGCCGAGCCACAGCACACGTCCAGTTCCCAGCCAAGCCTCCAACAGCTCCCAGATCTGCAACCTAGCAGCTGCCAAGTTCGCGAGACGCCCACACCAGCAGCCCGCACACATCCACTATCCCAAGTCATCTTCCTTTTACGTTTTTTAGTCCCGAAGAAGGTAAGCTCACCAAAACCCCCTCCCATGGCTTAGACTGATTTATTAAGACCTAAAAAATTGAGAAACCAAGGATA